AAAAGAAATTTTTTTATAATTTTTAATATAAATAACTAAAAAATAAATATTAAAAATGTTAAAATTAAAAAAATATATATTTTGGTAATCAAAATCAAATTAATGATTTTTAATATTTGAAATTAATTTTGATATTTGAAATGACTTTTGATATTTGAAATAATTTATGTTATTTAAAATCAATTTATATTTGAAATAATTTATAATATTTAAAATCAATTTATATTTGAAATGATTTATGATATTCGAAATCAATTTTAATATTTAAAATAATTTCAATATTTGTTTGAAATTTTTTAAAAAACTTTTAAATATTTGAAACAACAACTATTTTTTTATCATTCTAAAAAACAATTATTTTTTATTGTTTTTTCAGAATGATACATAATTATTTCAAAAAAACAATTATTTTTTTATCATTTTTTGAAATGATACTTCATCATTCTAAAAGAATAATATTTTATATTGTTTTAGTAAAATAATACATAATTGTTCTTTTAAAATGATTTTTATTATTATTTTTAAGAAATAATTAAATTATCATTTCAAAAGAACAATTTTGTTATCATTCTTATAAAATGATCAAATAATTGTTCTTTAAAAATGATTTTGTAATCAGAAGATGCAAAATCATCTATTTGAAACATTTATAATAAATCATATAAATAATATCTAAATTTCAGATTAACCAAAAGTTTAGTTTAATTGTCTGAAACATAGTGGAGGACACTTTACTACTATGACATTCAAATGCAAGGTCATTCTGTCCATTCAAATTTGGCAAGCCTGATAACCAATGACATTTTGTTTACGTTATCACGTGTTATATCTTTTATGTTACAAAATAATTAATCATGTGAAATATGATATTATAATTTATATATTTCAGACTTTGAACGGATCCTATTCGCTAGTTTATAATATAAAACTGATAAACTTTCTGAAAAAAAATTTTTTTTTCTTGTTTTTTAGGAAATTCTTATTTTGGAATTAAGGTAAGCAAATCGAAAGTGATTTTTTAGGCATTTGGAAACATTTCAAGTAAAATCAAGTTATGAGACAATAAATCATATGATCTATAATGTGATTTTATTGGAAACATTCACATTTTTCTTTTGTTTTTGTTATTTTTTAGGAAATTCTTATTTTAGAATTAAGATAAGCAAAATTGAAGTAATTTTTAGATAGGCTTTAACTTTTTTTCTTTATTTTTCTTTGTTTTTAGGAAATTTATTTTTAAATTAAGATAAACCTTTCGGTAATAGTTTTTAACCCTATTTTACTTTGTTTTTCTTTGTTTTTTAAGAAAATTCTCTTTTCAAAACTAATATAAGCCTTTCAAAAATGTTATTTTGGTAGTTTTCTAATTATTTTCTTTATTTTTTATTTATTTTTTTAGGAAAATAATTAAGGTAAGCTTTTGGTGATAATATTTTAGTAGTTTCTAACTGTTTTATTTATTTTTTATTTATTTCTTTAAAAATACATTAAGATAAGTCTTTCAAAAATGATATTTTGGTAATTTCTAACTGTTTTATTTTTTTATTTACTTTCTTTAGAAATAAGTAAATCAGAGGTGGATTTTAATAGTTTTAATTGTTTTCTTTATTTTTTATTTACTTTCTTTAGGAATACATTAAAATAATCCTTTCAGTAGTGATTTTTAGTGATTTTTTAGCTGTTTTTATTTTTTATTTACTTTCTTTAGGAATACATTAAGGTAAGCTTTTCAGAAATAGTTTTTTGATAATTTTCTAACTGTTTACTTTATTTTTCTTATTTTAAAAAATCAAATGTATCTTTTTTAAATAAAATATAATGTAATATATATTATTTTAAGTAATTTATTATGTAATAATAAAATAAAATTATAAATAAAAATAAATAAAAATGAGTTTTATTAGTTTCGATTTTATATATAGTTGCTTAATTAATTTTTGACTGTTTTTAAACTGATTGTTAACTGATTTTAAGCTGATTTATGCTGAATTTTGATAAATTTTTAACATAATGCTGATTAGTAGCCAATTTTTTATTTATTCAAAATAATATATTTTGGCAATAATCAGCAGAATTAAACTATATTTTGACTAACTTTTGACATTTTAAAATATAATAAATCATATTATTTTGTCTAGTAATATATATATTAAACAACTATTAATTATTAATGTCAAATGTTTATTTGTATAATATCTAAATTGAATAACTTTAGCTATAACTAAAAATGCTAATTGTTTTGATAATAATTGGCAGAAATTAGACTATTTTAATCTACATTTCGCATTTTAAAAAAGTGATAAAATGGATTATTTCGATTAGTAATAGTATTAATATTCCTAAATTTTACTATCAATCATATAATGTTGATCTTATTTGAATCATCAATTAATTAATATTATATAAAATTATATAATAATTTATAAGTTTTTTAATTTTTAATAAAATATATTATTTTTATATTATTATTATAACATTTTATTTTTAATAATAAAATATATATTAATTTTTAATAAATATATAATCTTTAAAATTATAATTTTAAATAATTTATTTAATAATATATAAATAATGAAAATAATAAATTTAAAACTTTTATAAAGAAAAAATTTTATTAAAATAAAATTCAAAACTTTGATTCTAAATTAATATAAAATATTACTAATTAATATAAAAATTTTTTTAATTTAATTTATAAAATCATTATAAAATATATTATAATTATTATTTTTTTAAATTTATAAGTTAAAATTATATTCTTTGATATAATATATTATTATAAATAAGATATTATTTAAATTATTTTATAAACTATTATTTTTTAATAATTTAACTAAATTTATTATTATTATTTTATATTTTAATTAATCAAAAAATTTAATTAAAATTTTATATTTAATAAATAAAAATTATTTAAAAAAAATAATAAACAAAAAAAGTTATATTAAATAATATTTTAAAAATTTAAATTTGATCATTATATATTAAAATATTGTGATATTTAAAAAAGATTATTAAAAAAATCAGATTTTGAGAATTTTTTAAAAAATATAATACAATCTCAGAATCTGATTTTTTCTAGCAATCTGTCCATTTGTATATATATATATAATTTTATTATTTCAAATTTAATAGTTCTTTGATAAAAGAATTTAATATTTAAAAAAATATGTGACTTATAATCCAATTATTTACTAATATACTAATAAAACGATGAAGGATAATACCGTTTGTATTACACAACAGATCCGACCAATCAAATTAAAATCAAAATATATTTCGATTCGAATAACTTTTTTTTTTTTTTTAAAGTTCTTGGGATTAATAACGCTGGTCTACGGATATTTTCAATTTTATATAAAGTAGCATGTGTGAATTATACGTTATGGGTAATATTTACAAACAAAAATGAAATTCTAATCCGGTTATACCAAACAATGAAATGAAATTGAAAAATAATTATAACTAATGAATCCAATAAAGAATCTGTTTTTTCGAAAAAAACATTAAAATTTTTTATGTAATTTTTATGACAATTCGTTAGGCTGTAGTTGTGAAAAAAAAAATTATCGATCAAGATTATCTCTCTGTATTGTATTGTTAAAATTCAATTACAACTTTCTTTTTTTTGTAAAAATAATTGGTTATGTAATTAATAAACAGTAATACAATACAAAAGAAACAAATTACTTGATTTTTTGTTCTTTGTTTATTTCCCATATTTCTCATGTAAAATTACCCTATTTTTCCATAGAAAAGTTATTTATAATTGTGGATAAGATAGGAATAGTTTGGGATGATTGTCCTAAGATTTCCTTATTCCTTTTCACTTTTTCACTTACCAAAAAAAAAAACTATCATACAATACCTTAAAGACAATCGGTATTATTCTCAACATTTTAAACGGTATCTGATAATGAACCCATATTTGATTTTTTTGATGTTTGTTGATAATTAGATTGAAATTATCTATAAACCGTGAGAAATCGAAAAAAAAATTTTCGTTATCGGAATTATCTCAAACAAACTGCTAATATTCCCGATAAAGAAAACCAACATATTATTAACCGAAACATGTATGTATTGATCAAATTACCGACTGACCATTGTCTTTTTAGAGATATGAGTGCGTCACAGGGTCATCCCAATATAGTATTTTGATTCCCACGGTACTTTTAATTATTATTTTTGCTACTTATAGATTCTACTTATTATAAAAATAGCCCCAATCTGTTGAAATCTTTTTTAACCGCTTTTTTTTTTCTTTTTCTTATTTGTTGAAGTAAGTTCATTAAATTAAATAATTTTATTTTTAAAAAAAAAAATAACGCGTTTATAGAATAGCTTTATTCTTATCTATTATTCTTGATTTCAAGAATGTCTAGGCTTTCGCGATCAAAACCCTTAAGTAGAAAATCAAACCATTTTGTTAGAAAAAAGCCAGAGTATAAGCTTGCTCTTGAGAATACGGAACAAGAGTTTCGAAGCTATCCACCAAATACTTGGGCTATACTCAGACCCGTGGAAAATAACATATTCATACCTTTTATATTTCTCACTGATACTTTCAATTGTCTTGGAAAATTCCCGGATAGCACTTCAAATCACCATGTAATGCATATAATCTATAAATGTATTTGAGCACATTTTTTTAAAATCAAGAATTATATGATCAATTATTCATAATATTCTAATACCTTTGATATTTAGCAACTACCACTTGACACGCAAATAAGTGATAAGCATTGCTACATAAGAATTGTAAGCAATTAATGAAAATTTTATAAAGAATGATTGTTTGGAAGTTTCATTTAGTTTATTTTTTTATTTATTTGATTTGTTTATCTTTCTTTTATTTTAGGAGCATTTTACCGATAATTCCGGTGATTCGTCGTCAATCATCTTTCTTGAAGATGTTAGGTATGATATCGCGTTTTTTTTTGGGTTTCCCGATCGGTGTGATAATTAACGTTTCCATATCGGTATCGATATATAGCAAAATGGGTACAATGGTTGACGGAATCTTGGTAAAACGTGACGTCAGGAATTATCATCTTAATAAAGTTAGGCTAAATAACGGGTCAAAGATATCGTTTCCCGCCTCTCGAGTTGAAACCGGTCTTTATAATTGTAGGTTTTTTTAATATTTGTTACATCTGACATGTAGTGTATTTTTTTTTTTTTTTACTAAATGTTCTGTTTAGATGAATTTGATATTGTCGATCTCGAATCCACAAGCACCTCTGTAAGTTTTATGTAAAATTTTATCACATTTTTTTATTCAAGGTAAAAATATATAATGATTTGATAAATGTTTCCTTCCATACATTCTTAGAAATTTGATAGGAAGTATAAAGTTGGCAAATTTCTTGGGAGAGGACATTTTTCCGAAGTTTACATGGCAAAATGTATTAAGTATGATGGAAAAACGTACGCAGTCAAAATAATGGAAAAGGTTGTGGAAAATGATAATATTAAACAAAAAAGGATGGTCAATTCCGAAATTCAAATCTTAAATGGTCTGGCACATGTAAGTATTAAATTTACCCAGATATCAATTAATTTTTGAAGGAACGAATTAATAATTTATTTATTTATTTTATAGGAAAATTTAATCAAGATATATGATGTTTTTGACGAACCCGACAAAATGTATCTTGTGATCGAATAGTAAGTATTAACTTCATTGGGTGATTTTTTCCTTATAATCAATTAACCCTTACAATTACGTGATAATATTTAAATTACAGTGTAGAGGATGGTGAATTCTTTGATTTCTTTAAAAGCCGGATCCTGTCTGAAATTGAGATTCGTATTATTTTTAAACAATTGTTTAGCGCGATCCAGGTAAAATCAATTCTCTTTGGAAGATTTAAATAAATAAATATAATTTATATGTAGTTTTTTTTTTTTAATAGTATCTTCATGAACGAAGAATAGTGCATCGAGATTTAAAACCCGAAAATATTTTAATGCCAAGCAAAGAAGGATTAAGAATAAAAGTTACAGATTTTGGTTTATCAAAATTGCTTAATGTTGATTTTTCCACCATGCAAACAAGGTGTGGAACCGTCTCATACGGTAAATATTTTTTCATTATTCATTGAGACCATGTTTTTTTAATGAATTTAAAGTTTTTGTTTAAATTAAATTTTCAAAAAATAGTCGCTCCCGAAATTCTCGAATTATGCAAAGATCAATCGTACACAAAAGAAGTCGATATATGGAGCGCGGGCGTAATCTTTTATGCTTGCTTATGTGGAAATTTACCTTTTACAAGCGAAAACAATAGACCTAATAGCGTGGCGGAAAAAATCAAAAACGGAAGATTTCCAACAGAACTTTCTAGATGGGAAAGAGCCAGTGAATCAGCAAAAGATCTAGTCTACGGAATGCTAAACAAAGATCCCTTCCAGCGATTATCGGCTGAGAATGCATTAGTAAGGATTTTTTTCATTCAATCTTTTATATATGGTAATATGTTATATTTCTATACTTATTAATTATTATTTTTTACTTCAAAGAAACATCCATTCATAACGGTAAGTTATAATTGTTAACGGAGAAACTTTCATCGAAATTTACTAACAAAACATACTTATTACTATAATAGTGCGGAGATATTCCAAAACAAGTACCATTTTCATATCCCCCCCGTCTTCTTGAATCTAAAAGTTCGAATGAAACATCGTCGGCCGAAGATCTATTCTATAGTTGTGAGGGACAATCATCTCAATTGTCTACGAGTTTTAGATCGTCTTTCGTCTCGGATTCCGAAACTATCCGCTCGTATTCAAGCATTGAAAATGAAATATCTTCCCCAAGTGAAGGAAGTTATCGAGGAAGTTATCGAACGTGAAAATATTATTATTATTATTATTTTTTTTTTATCGATATTCGATAGATAATTGTTTTATTTGAATTTTTGGGTGGAAGAAGTATGTAAATATCTTGAAAGTATTAGGAAGGGAGGGAATTGCTTCTCAAAAATAATTTTAATTGGTTCCATAAAAATGAGAGAGAAAAATTAAGTTTTTTTTTTTTTTTTTTAAAAAAAAAAAAGATATTTCAATTTGCTTTTGACAAAAAAAATAAAATCAGTTCCAAATTTCATCTTTAATTTTTAATTTTTAATAATGCAAGAAAAACTTTTTGATGATCCATAACAACAAAAATGAGTGAAAAACTACAAATAAATAAATAATGTTCCAACTAAGTGGTACTGCGGTAGATGAAAATAAATGAGCGATATATTTTTTAATTTGAATTCTTTAGATTCCCATAAGGCAAATTTGTCCCAATTTTTTCTTTTAAAAAAAAAGGTAGGGTAATTGTTTCAAGAGAGGTAGGTTACTTTTTATCGTCAAAGAAAGCATGGAGATCCTTTATCTTCTGCATCATCAGAAACATTTAAAATGATGATAATCTACAATAAACCCAATTTTTATTAAAATTCACGTTTATTTTTTAAACTTTTTTATGCGCACATCATATGCAATCTAGATATATCCAAACAAAGAGAAAAAAATTTTTTTTCATGTCAATAACAACATTCACATTCGTTGAATTTAAGGGTTTTGTTAAAACTTTATCACAAAAGTTTTACAAAACGAATAATGTTTATTATATACACTCGAGTTCAAGAACATACATGATTCAACGTAATATTATCAAAACGGACGCTAATAAAGTCGAATTACAACAAAAAAAGCAAGCGAAACAACAAAACAAGAATAAAAAGGATACCAACATTAGCATTAAGAAACTGACGAAGATACGCAAGGACCTTGAAAAGGCGATAAACAAGGATGATGAACGAACTATTAAACAATTATATTTTGAAAGCAAAAAGTTATACTACATACATCATAATGAGATTAATTTAATGGGTGGGGGAAATAATATAATGAGTTCACTCATCAAGGTTGAAAAATCAGATATAGCGATTTCATTATTAAAGTACATTGATAAAAATAAGATCATAATTGATCTAATTCACGCATTTATTGAGTTATTAGAGAATAATGATTATAAGAGGTCACAATCGTTATGGGGTTTGATAAAATTTTATCATAGTAGTTGCTTTGATGATAATTATTTGTTAGAGATGTTGAAATTATTTATGAAGAAGAAAGCAAAGTTAATCATTCCATTTTTACGAGGAATGTTATCGGCTGGGTTTATACCGACGGATGATTTTATTGCCGTTATTTTGAACGTTTACGATGATAGGGTGTTTGAAATTTATAATTTACTCAAATTGAATGGAATTAAATTTAGCAATGATATTTATCAAAATTTATTGATATCACAACAAAGGAAGCGAGATATTAATTATTTAAACTTTTTTTATAGAGACATGTTGGTTTTAGACCAAAAGAGAAAACTTGATCAACGTGAAAAAGAGAGTTTGAAATTGATTGAGAATGCTTTTAAAGAAAGAAAACCCGTCGAAGCAATAAAATCTTTTTATGAAATTGAATCGGAGGGTATACAATCGCATCCAATTATTCTTTTTGAATTATTCAAAGGATTATTTGAAGTTTGTCGAGAATATAGTTTCAAATTCAAAAAATTAGATGAATCTAGTATCTTTTCAGTTTATAAATTATTAATGCGTAAAAAGATTAAAATTAATTCGGATATAGGATATTATTTGATGGTAGGATTTCTTTGGAATGATCAATTGAATTATGCGGAAAAAGTCTTGACAGATATGATAAATGAAAAAATCATTCCACCCGCTTATACATTTATTCCTTTGGTAAATTCATATTTGAATAAAGAGATGGTAGATAAAGTAGAAAAAATCATGGGATTTATCAAACCGATGTATGACACAGATTATATCTATCTTCTGAATCGTTTATTAGATCATTATAATAAAAAAGGGGATAAAGTTGGAATATCAAGATGGATAAACGAACTTATCAACGCACCGATTAAAGACGGGACAGGATACGTGAATTGCACTGTGTTGTTGCGTTCTTATGGAGAGTTGGGCAGATTATCTGATGTTACAAATTTATGGGAGGAAATGAATAAAAAATATTCTGGAAAAGAACTTTCCCCATCCATATCAGTTTTATTGGATCAAATTGGATTCATTGGAAATATTATCATGTTAAAAGATCATTGGGACGAAATCTCAACTAATCCTGAAAAATATTTATTAAATTTAAATCATTATAATTCTTACATTGAAGCTTTATGTCGATTTAAAGCCTTTGATGAAGCTATTAAAGTATTTACACTGGAATTGGAATTAAATGGTTTTAAACCTGAAATAAAAACTATTCTTACTTTATTACAACCTCTTATAGCTTATAAAAAATTTAATGAAGGAGAAAATGTTTTATCATTTGTTAAAACTAAATGGCCTGATTTGCATGTAGAATTCGTTCGATTTATTATAACGAATCCGGATAGGATATCTATATCTATTGAACCATGAATATTTTCACATGTACGAAGGAAAAATTTACTTGTTGAGTAAAATGACGAATCATTATAAATCAAAAAAAAAAAAAGATAAAATAAAATGAAATGAAACTTACAGAATTTATCACAAATTATCCCAATAAACCTTCCTTTTTGAATCCTAAAACATAAATTTTCGATTAATCATTATATGTAACTAATACCAACGCTACTTATCAAAAAATCGATAAAAATGATTTTGATAAAAATATGCCTAGTTAAAAGTTTGTAAGTTTATTATCGCACATAAATCCTTCAACGAAAATCTCGAAGTTTTGTTAAGGAGAACTCGTTGTACACACAAATGTGCTTTTAGTTATGCTAATGCTAAATAAATTCGGTACTGAAACATGTCAACTAACCTCATTTCATTGTTTCCATTCTATAAAATTTTTTTTTATTAATAAAAAAAAAAAAATAGGAAGTGGGGCTTTTATAGAAAAATTTCACGTTCCACGAAAAAAAGAATTTTTTTTTTGATAATCGATAATCTCGAATATAGAGCTTTATTTAGTCTTTTTTCCCTCATAATCATATTATGTTGATTGGATCTTTTCCTATTGAATGCCGTTATGCTCGCAAATGATTTTTATCAAGTCAAGCACATTAATTGCGAAACCTCTTAAATCCTCATTGGAAATAAATTTGGAACATGCGCAAAACGATATATACATCTTACTATGCAAAGTGAGTGTAGTTACTTCAATATTAGTACCTCTAGATTGCTTGGCAGTAGAAGACAAAAAAACATTATTCCAATCCGTAATAATATCGTCCTTAAAATTTTCAGAAACATTTTGATTACAAATTCCGAGATTAGATAATACGTAGGCTAAAGGAATGATGGTCTCCTCTTCTTTAATATTTTCATTTTTTTTTATAGGCCCAGTAACCAGAAATTTTAAATTATGAAAAATCAAACCAGATTTCATCGAGTGCTGTATGGTATTGTTAGTGGTTTTAATTCTGTTTACTAAATAATTTATATAAATTGATCTATTGAATTTCTCTTCAAATAAAAATTCAACTTTTGGATGTCTTATTAATATGGAAGAATTAAAAGCTCCGTTAATTTTAACAGAAATATTTAAAAATTGTCTTAAATCAACCGCCAACCCACCCAGAACAGTATTTCCTCCGTTCCTTTCAGAGATGATTTCAGAAATACACGTTGACAATAACGATGTGACCGAAAATTTATGTCGTTTACAAAATTGGATCAAACATAACGTTTCCTGACTCGTTAATGTATGAAAGTACGTATTCGTTTTACTTTTCTCGGGTTGTAATGAAGGTTGGATTTGTTGCGATGAAGATGGAAGGTTACGTGGTCTCGTGTATAATAACCAACCGAATAAAATTATTACTTCTTTGAAAAAGATGAAATTTGAATAACAAGTTTGAAATTTGGGCAATATCAAGTTATTTATTTGACCTTCCTTTAATCCTTGAGTACTAACGACATTTTCCGAAGAATTTAATAAAGTTTTTTCAAATTCTTTAATAAAATCACGGGTGACAGTAAATATATTTCTACCATCAAAGGCTGTGTGTAGAAAACAAAATACGAATCCAACCTCAGTTGTTGAGTTTTCTTGTGGGTTGGTGTTGTCTGGAGTAGTTGGCATTAAAGTATCACGTGTAATCAAAATAAATCTACATAGATGTTGTTCGACCATAAAATCATTTGTCATCTCTTGGGCACATACATTTTCTAACGTGCTTGCAATCGTTTCGTTCAAGGATGATATTCTGATCCAATTAAATGAAATTTCGTTACGAGATGATGGTTTCTCACAGAAACACCATTTACCATTCATTATTGAAATACATGATCTTAACATTGGATAATATTGTTGAATTTTATTTAACCCGAATTTAATCGATTGTGTCAATTGGGAATATGTAAAAGGGCGCGAGAGTGTTAAAAGCGATGAAAGTGTTACATTATTTGAATTTCCTTCGTAAATGTAAGACAATTCTTTTTTATTTAAGAAACGAAATTGTGGAGAGTCCATTTATTCCTTGTATATATTTCAAAAGAAACAAAGAAAAAGTGTTTTTATTTTAAAAAAAATTTAGAAATAAAAATACAACAATTTATTTTTTTTTTTTAAAAAAAAAAGAGAAAATTATAAGCATTTATTTATATACGGGGTTATGTTTACTTTATGCAGAGGGGACTTGATGCATGCATCATTAACGATGACTTTTAAGCTTAAATAATAACTTTTAGAGACAAACATCAAAACAATATGAAAACTTATTGAAGTTAAATTGATGGGATTTAAACAATGAAGTTCAAAAAATATATTAATTATAACTTGATTTTTTTTCATTACAAATGTGTTAACATCTGATTTTTTCCCCACAGTATTTTTTTCCCCAAACTTCACTTATTATAAAAAAAAAATGTATCATACGTATGGGGAAAAATGATGATATTAATATTAATAATATATAAAAGCATGAATAAAAATGGTTCCTCATATTATTTCAAGATCTATCCTTTCCAAATTTTGATTTTAAAATCGAGATTTTCATTCTCTGATATTCTTTGGTGATGATTCCAAATTGGGCGTGTAAAGATGGGTTTTAGATGTTAAAAAATTTAATATCATTATCATCTCAATTCTTGATATCCGCAGCCCTATCACGGATAGATAGATAGATACGTAGTAATGATATAACGGGAAATCATTCGCGTGAATTAAATCTTCTTCCAAATTTGGAATGTCATTCACCATCAAAAAAAAATCAATTGTTTGTGTGTCAAGAGCTGCGCACGGACGAGGTCGAAGCGCGTGGTGATACCGAAACATGGTTTTCGTTGCGTCTAATAAGAATGGCATGCATCCGCAGCAGCAATTGTTATGTTTTCTCGGGGGAAAAATGACAACTTGTTTGTACCTATTAAAAGATTAGCGCAATTATAAAATGGTTTCATTATTTCGATCCGTCAATCCCATTATTTTGGCGGGAACGGATGTGATTGGTCATTTACAAATTAGTTTGCGTTAATGGCGGCGTAGAATTGTCCAAGTAAAACAAAAAAAAAAATTCGCAATGTGGCACAAATAATTCGTATTATATAAACATCATAATTTGTAACGATTCCCTCATTACCCCAACTTTAAAAAAAAAAAAAATGTCAGATTTGTTATCGAAGCTAACTTTGCCTGCCCCAACCGAGGTTCCCGATATATTTAAGTTATTCCCAAAAATTCGGAAGTGGACCTTTCCAAAAATGACACTCTCGACACCCCCTCAAAAACTTCCAGAGTTAACATTGATAGGAACGTCCAGAGCAGCAGATTCCACTTCATTTTATATTCCCGAATTAAATTGGCTCTTTGACGGGGGAACAAAAGTGACGAATTATTTTCCCTCTCATATATTCATCACACATACGCATACAGATCATTGTTTAGCGTTGTGTAGGTATAATTCACGTAGAAAACCTCCTACCATTTACGCACCAATGGAATCTGTTCAATTGGTTGAGAATTTTATGAGATCCGCTCAAGCAATTACTGACAATTATGCCTTGAGAAGGGGTGATTCATTTTCTTGTTTGGGCGTTAAGCAAGGTGATAAGATTACACTGTTTTTAACTTCTTCAAAAAGTATCGAAATTTCTTCTCTTGAAGATGATGATGAAGAGGAGGAAGACGTGAAGATAGACGTTCCGGTTCAAACCAAATCTAACGTTAAAAATACCGGCGATGGTGGATATCAAGTTCACGTAACTCAAATGGATCATTCCGTACCCTGTGTAGGTTACATAGTTTATTCAAAACGAAAACGACTCTCATCTGCTTACAAGCATATGACAACTAAAGAAATCGCCAAATTCCGCCAAGAAAATCCTTCGACAGAGATAATGGAACCTTACCTGGCTCCATTATTTGCGTTTAACGGTGACACCACGATTAATGCGTTTTTTCCTAACCGGACCAATGATAAGGGGGCATTTAAAGAAGTTCCCGTAATAATAACCGAATGCAGCTTTTTGTTAGACGAACATTTAGATCAAGCCAAAAAAACCAAGCACACCCATTGGAAAGATTTGAAAAAGATTGTCAAGGAAAATAGAACTCAAATTTTCATTTTAATTCATTTTAGTTGTAGGTATAGCGAGGATAGCATTAGAAATTTTTTTGAAGAGGAAAGAAAGAAAATAAGGGAGGAAACCTATGATAATTATGCATTGGAAAATGTTGTCATTTGGGTTTAAAATCATTTTATTTCCTTACACACAAAAGGAAAAATACTATTCGTTTTTAAAAATTGATAAGAGACAATTAATTAAGCTGAAGAAGGTTCTTTTTTAACTCAGGTTCAGGTGGCGTCAAAATATGTTTACTTTTAAGCCACCAAGAAGTAGACAATCACATAAACAATTTAATCATTTGAAGTTGCCGAAATTACCTAATCAATGTTGTGAAACCGATGTCCTAGCTTATTTTGATAATATAAATTCGGATTTTCCCATATTTTTGACGAATTACGTTAGCTTCTTTAAATAACAAAAAAGCACATAAGGGTGTACATACATGATGCAAAAGAGAAACTTGAAAAAAAAACTTGATTTTTTCTTAAATAATAAAAAAAACGGAATTTATCATTGGTAACCACATGATTACTGTACACTTTTTCACGAGATGTGCTTTTTAATTTACTTTAGGTAAAAAAGGAAATTGTCAATACGCGTAAAAGGGTTCAAAGGAGATAAAGATGATGTTGATACTTAATTGTCAAACATTGTCAAAAGGTTTAGGAAGACGCGTTTAATTCATACAATATAGTGTGATACTTTCATGAGATAAAAAATCTTTGACATTTATTTAATCAGTTAACCCTTACATGAACCCTGGCCAGCACTATAAATCTTGTGACACATAAACATAAATTTACGGGCAAAAAAATCGTTCGATGGTTAATTATATCCATTTTTATGGAAATGAATAAGATGGCATCAAAATGGTGCAATATAGACTTAAGATAAGCAAAATCAATCACTTAGGCCAATTTGGTGAGATTTATTGTGAAACAAATAATTTATATATCGAATAATTTCAAACATATTAAATTTATGACGCAAAGAGATACTCTTTTTTTTTTTTTTTTTTTTTTATATACCTTTATATCACAAACTGGATCAACCATTTGTTTATTATGGGTTTTTTTAGTATCTATTCGTTTATAATTTTTTTTTTTTTAGAACACAATTTGTAAACTCAGTTTGATATAATATATATTTATTAATAATTTTGTTATTATTTATTATTATTTATATTATTCTTTTTTTATACACATACATATGCACACATACATATATAAGCATCAAAAAAAAATAACCATGCAAAATAGACAAGAAACAATTCCAGTGATAAATTTTGCTGGCCTTCAAATAGAAGACTCCAAACATAATAAACCTGAATCTAGAGAAACCGGTCGGCAAATATCTATTAATAACAACCCTATTGATAATAACCTTATTGATAATACAGATTTTGATAATCAAATTCAGCCTGAAAATTATTGCTATCGTCACCGTCCTGATCTCATGAGAGAAAGAATGGCAGAAGAGCTTACCCTTAACGATTTGCAAAAGGTATGTGAAAATCTTTATAGGACAATTATGTAATTGTTTCCGTTTGACTTAATAAAATTAATTCCTTTGCTTAAATTCAAATAGCAAATCGAAAAATTATCACAATCGGAACGGGAAACCGTCACACATATATGGTCGTTGTTTTCCGCCGCACCTCCACAGAATCGTTGTTTAATTTTACAGGGTATATTAATTCAGTGCTGTCTTCCTCAATTATCGTTCCTTTCAGATAACCTGAAAGATTTAATTCGGATCGATTTCATTGCTGCCCTTCCAAGAGAATTATCCTTTAAAATCCTTTCGTACCTAGACGCAATTTCATTATGTTACGCTGCTCAAGTGTCCAAGACATGGAGATACTTTGCTGACGATAATGTCGTATGGCATAAGTTATGTGAACAGCACATAGATAGGAAATGTTACAAATGTGGTTGGGGTTTACCACTTTTGGAACGGAAAAGAAAGTGTAGAAACAACAAACGACCCGTATCAAATGATACCGTAACATCATATTCAACTGTCGCGACATGTAGTACGGCTATTGATATTCAACGTCAATCAATGAGACATTTACAAACTTCTTCACCTTCATCTTCAAGTATACCGCCTTATATGAGAGAGATAAAACGTGCTCGTATATCGAATGACAGATCATCAGCTTTATACCCTGAAATCTCAAAACCTGAACCTCGACAGACTCGTCCATGGAAAGATGTTTATCGTGAGCGTCTCCTTGTGGAGCGTAATTGGCGTAAAGGTCGTTATAACGTTAGAGTGTTAAAAGGTCACACTGATGGCATATTATGCCTACAGTTTGACGATGTTACCAATCGTCTCATTAGTGGATCTTTGGATAATACCGTTTGCGTGTGGGACCTTGAGACTGGGGAAATCATTCATATCTTGAAGGAACATACACGGTGTATAAGAGCATTACAATTTGATGATGCGAAGCTTATTACGGGTTCCATGGATGGGACCTTGAAAATATGGAATTATTATACGGGTTTATGCTTAAGAACCTTCCCACACACAAGTGGGATCGTTTCACTTCATTTTGATGATCGTATCCTTGCTAGTGGTTCGACGGATCACATCATCAAAGTCTGGAACTTCGCATCATGTGAATGTTTCGTCTTGAAAGGACATACGGATTGTGTTAATCGTGTTGTGATATATAAGCAATCACAGTTGTTATCGTGTTCTGACGATCAAACGATACGTATATGGGATTTGACGACAAAATCTTGTTCTAGGGTATTTAATCAAAATACTCACGTTGCTTCGATTCAATGTATCGAACCTGCTTTACTGAGTAACGCCACCCCATTCAACGAATTGTTCGGAGAAAAGAAACAACGTAATGATTCGGACAAGGTTGATGAACCTGTGATCGTTTCTGGTTCATTAGATAGTACAATTAAGATGTGGTCGATTGAGACAGGACAATGTATACGTACATTATTTGGTCATGTTGAAGGCGTGTGGTCTCTGGCGGTTGATAAACTCAGAGTGGTTAGTGGAGCTCATGATAAAACTGTAAAAATTTGGGACCAGGATTCCGGAGAGTGTATGCATACATTATTCGGTCATATGGGAGCGGTTAATTGTGTTGCGTTAAGTGATACAAAGATTATTTCGGGAAGTGAAGATAGTGAAATCAGAATTTGGGATTTTAAAAATTAAAAAAAAAAAGTACTTTTTCTTCAAAAACAAGTCATTCGAATCTTTTTTTGTAATTTCTTTTTTATTCTTTTTGTATATTGATTTTGTTACTAGATTATTATAAAAAAAACTCGGGAGAAATTCCTCAAATCTTTAATGATGATTTAGAATAATTATGATTACCATTCCATTTTTTTTTTCTTCCATTTTTTATAAATTTTTTATAAAAAAAAAAAAAAAATTTACAATAAAGTTGTGTATAATTAATTGCGTGAAGTTTAATTCGAGACAATTTTTTTTAATAATTTTATCAAATTGGTTACATTTAAAAAAGATAATTATTCTAATGCGAGAAAAATTGGATCATCGTAATTCAGAATTTACCTTTTATAAGAATTTTCTAAACCAACCTTTACTACTACTGCTACACGTCAAGGAAAAAAATAAAAAAAAAATAGTAGTCTGACGCGTGAAAATTGTTGACGATTAACGAATGAATTTGGAACTTTATAATCAAAAAAAACAAACTTTGGTTTGTTCGATCTTTAAAAACGGATGCTCGATTTTGATTGGTCGGCTGAAAGGAAATTTTTTCGACAAAAACGAGTGGTAATCACGTGACATCAAAAAGGGGTGGGCAGAGAGTTCTTTACAAAAATTATTTCACTTTATACAATCGTTAACCGTAAAAAACAGACTAAATCTACACTTATTCCTACTTGACTTTGACGAGAGTGAAAAAAAAAATACCGGAAATCCCTTTAAAATATTGAACAAATTCAAGTAAAACCATCAAGGAAGAAGAATAATACTTATCATAATAAAATTTGTTTCAGAATGTCACAACAGAACAATCAACAAAATTTACAAACACCAAACTTGCCAACGGTAGTTGTACCACAATCGCAACAAATCGCTTCAAATAATTCAACTTCAACACTTGATCAGTACTCGACGTACTCTCAAAATACTCAACAGGAACAACAAAATAAACAACTTCAGATGAGAGCGCAGCAGCAGCAACAATATTCGCAGCAAAGGCCGCAATTGCAACAGACGCCACAAGGCTCACCACTACCAATAAATATGCAAGTTAACACAATACCACAGCAACCGCCGCAGAATCAATCCGCACAACCTTCTATACAACAACAACAAACTTTAATACAGCAACAACAAATCATACAACCTTCTCCACAGCAACAACAACAATCGTTATTATCCTCTCGAACGCAGTCTGTACAACAAGCAAACACGGATGCTATAGGAGCAGGACGAGGGGGGACATCAATTAGAGGGGGTCCTAAAAAGAAAAGTACAAACGCCGCAAGAAAACCTAGCACTGGAGGTGGGCGTGCGAAACTACCATCTTTAGAAAAAAGTAATACTGATGTATTGCCTCAAGCTTTAAATAAAATGGCTACAGATTTCTATAGTCAAGCTCAACAATTGGGATTAAACACTGAAGCAGGTTCGGCTATGTATAAAAAATATGAGGATGCTATACGCGCAATACGTCAACATCAAGTTAACGTTAACAATAATCAATCTACAAGTTACGGTATATCGGCTTCTCCGGACCAACCCTCAACTTCTACGTCATCTCCACATACAATACCTCGTTCTATTGCTTCTACTAACGCCATATCATCGATGAATTCACAACATCAACAATCTATACAGCAGCAGAATCTTCAGCAACAACAACAACAACAACTCTTTACGTGGGCCAAGATGATTCCGCCAGAATATCAAAACATCCACACACCACAGCAATTAATAAATGAATTAAATCTTGTTCAAGAGACTCTGTCACAACCCAACATACAGCCTAATGTCAAACAAGATTATGAGAATAGACAGCAATATTTAAGAGCTATTGCATCGGTAAGATTCCAGGCACAGCCGGGGGCAGGCGGTCTGGGTGCGGTTTCTCATATGCCACCACAATCTCCAAGAGGTTTAATGGGACCTCAAGTAGTCAGATCTCCGATGCAAGCAAATGCATCCTTACCAAGGGCGACAATGAACGCGTTAGGTCAAAATCGGGGCATGGGATCTCCAGCAGGTAAAATTTGTTTTTTATCCTTATTTTTAAAACATGAAATTTAATAAAATTAACTCTAATTTTCTATTCCCTCAAAAGGCAATGATTTTAATAGGATACCTACTACGACACAACAAATATCATCACCCATCCTTCAACATACAAGTATGACCTCTGGCCAATCACAAGATGGATTGATGAACATGCAACAGCAACTTGGACAGATGTCATCATCGTTACAACAGGTTCCTCAATCACCTAGTACACAATCACAAATGATGGTGTTACCACATTCCCCACGAACACAACAACTGCATATGCAGCAGTTGCATCCTCTTTCACCGAGGCAACAGCATTCATCTCAGCCTCTACAATCTGTTGCAAATGAGGATTTGATGGAGATTGACTCGGATACAAGATCATCGACTTTAGCGCAAAAGACTGCAGAAAGTCTGGCAGCAAGCGCGGCAGCTGCTGCAGCTGCTGCAGTTCCTCGACAGGTCCCTCCGATAGCTCCAGCCATTAATACGGGCATTCTTCAATCGTCACTAAACAAAATTCATCAAATTCATACCGGTAAAACTTATGCATCCATTTATGGCAACAATTCAAGCTACCCTGAAATTTCCACATCAAATGTGGTGGATGTTGACATGGAAGATGCGTGTTCTCAACATCTCTTACCGAAACGAAAAGTTCAACAACTAGTTGATCAAATAGATCCAAAAGAGAGGTTGGAGCCGGAAGTTGAAGAAGTAAGTTAATTTGTCTAAATTCTTTATAATTTAATTTAATTTAATGTAATGATTTAGCTAATTATAAATTTATTAATAGATTCTACTCGAAATTGCTGACGAATTTATTTCATCGGTGGCTTCATTTGCATGTTTGCTAGCCAAACATCGCAAATCAGAAACTTTAGAGGTGAAGGATCTTCAACTTCACCTAGGTACATAATGAACATTGATGATTTTCTTTGGTTGATAAGATTTATGATTTTATATATATTTTTTTATTTTTTATTTTTTATTTAGAGAGAAACTGGAATATTCGTATTCCAGGTTTTGCATCCGATGAAATCAGGTCGGTTAGGAAGCCAGTCGTTTCCGTCGGGCATCAACAAAAGCTTGCGGCTGTGATGCAAGCAAAGGCCAACAAGGCCATGACGGCTGCTACAGGTCCATCCAACTAAATAGAAGTTAGTTTTCGCTTATATTGATTAAAATTATGAGCAATTAAGTAAAAAAAAAAAAAGGATTTTTATTATTAGTAGGATAAAAAAATTTTATAGGGATGAATGATTGCTAATAAAAATCGTGAGAAAAGAAAAAGGAAAAAATTTTTTCTTACGCTCCTTACGTAGGACAAGAAACTTCTAATATTTTAAGGCAAATTATTATTTCGAACATTTTTTGATTCATTTAACGTTTTATTTAGTATATTGTGTATATATGTACACATACATATCTTTGTTTTATTGAATTAATTAAGCATATATAAAGGTTGAAATTTAATTTCAACAAGATTTCCAATGTATCAACGTAATGATAACATAATACACGACTATTAAAACGCGTTTCATGCCAGTGTAGTTGATTCAATATAATATACCCACGATTGCATGACGAAACTTTTCATTGATAAAGAAATGTTTCGCTCAAAGATGGGGTCTGACATAATAAATATCCTTTGATTTGATATTATTTATTTTTTTTTTTTTATAAAAAAAAAAAAAAGTTTCACTAAATTACAAAATATTTATAATAGAAATGAAGCTTTTTAATAAAGAAAAAACTACCAGAGAAGTACCGAAGAATCCACAAATGTTCCAAAGGCTAATAAATAATCCCATTACACATATTACACCCAATATAGTAGCTATAGGAATAAATTTTTTTAAAGAATCATCAAAATCCCATGAACCATAATTTGGTGGTGGGATATCTTTCTTGAATGGTATATAGTATTGTAAATATATAAAAATCGTTACGATATTCAATAATGCGAATAATGATAGGTAAAAGCTTTTTCTAATAAATTGGAGGAAATGATTAGTAAAAATTTCTTCCATAGGAAAATGTAGTTAGATTAAAATTACCTCGTCCAACTATTTTCTAAAACGAGATGGATTCCTTGAGATAACTCAAAATACCAAGAAAAGACAAAAGCGATTGTTGTCCATATTATTGCATTGAATATTCTTGAAGTCATTGGAGACCTTTGTCTTTTTATGCGCCGTTGTTGAAAATTGCTATCACCATTATCAAGTAATTGTTCTCGTACTTCAGTTGTCCTGGCGGCGGCGCGTCGACGAGTGCCTGGTATTTCGTCAATATCACCCATATCTTTAAAAGCGTTCTATTTTGAGTTTTTTAAAATAATTAAAAAATTAAGGGACGTAACATACGCCACATTTCAATATCAAAAATTACTGCGCATTCGGAAATCAAGGAGTATTAAATAATTTTTATATTTTTATTGAAAAACAAAACAAATTAAGATCTCTCAACTTTCTAATTGTCTTAATTAATTAAAGGTAAATATTAAAAAAAAGTTCTTCAAATTCATATAATTTAATTATAATTTAAAAGAAACAAAATTTATTTAAATATTACAATAACCGTTCCGAATATTCTATTCAGTAGAATAAGAATAGATTTCATAACTTGCTTTAACAAACTGGACTTTCTCTTGGAGTGAACGTTGTTAATACATAAGTTTAACATATGAATCTTTGAAGGGTTTAAGTTTTGGTTGTGATGGTGTTGCTGGTAATGCATTCACAGCGGTCAAGGTGGTCAAGGCAACAATTACCAACGCGATAAGGGTTGAATAAGTTGAGAATTTCATTTTTTTTTTTTTCTCTCTCTTTTAAAATATAAAAAATGCTGGTTTGAGATGATTGTTTTTTTTGGAAAAAAAAAATAAAATTTTCCTTTTCTTTTTCCTTATAATTTTTTTTTTATAAAGTTAAAGAGAAAAGAGTAAGGATTTAAATTTTTAAAAAATAATTGGATATTTCACTTCATTAAATACATTTAAATTCGTACTTTCGTTCGACATGACAAGGTAGGACAAGTTTACTTACCCCGGTCGCGGTGCTGTTACACGATCAAAGTATTATTGAAATGATGTTCTATAGTAATTTTGTGATGATCGTAACCGATCAACTAATGCCCCTTCAGAAATTATTTCCCTCTTTTTTTCTTCTCTTTTTTTGTTTATTTAAAAATGATGGATGAAAGTACAAATGATATCGAACCTCAAGAGGTTTGTCTTTCATTCACAGGTAAAAACATTCGTTTTTTTCCTTTAACAAATACTTTAGAATTTTTATTAAACTCGCTCCTCTTTTTTTCGTTTTTTTTAAAAAAAATAAATAAATAAGGCGGTAAGGATTCCACGTTAACATTACACTTAATATCCGAGCAAACGTCTAAATATAAGATAAAATCTTTGGTGACATTCACTCCTCCTAATACGACAAAACCATTCTTGGCACATCCACAACATTTGATAGCACTTCAAGCGAATGCATTATCATTACCTCATAAATTCTTACCAATAACCCCACCATACTTGGAATCGTATCGTTCTTTAATCACGTCCCAAAACGTACCCTACTTGGCAACGGGTGATATATTGGACGTATGTAATCAATTTATGGATCGAGTGGTGGAAAACACCAATGTTACATTACTTCGACCGTTATGGGAAAGAGAACGAAATGAATTGATGGAATTGATCTTTACTAAAAATAATTTTGAGATAATAATCACATGTGTGAATTTGGAAAAAATTCATGAAAACGTGGCTAGAAAGTTGGTCGGTAAAATTTTAACTAGAGAGTTATATAAAGAAATTATTTTAAAACAAGACAACGTTGACGGATGCGGTGAAATGGGTGAATATCATAGTATGGTTTTAAACGCTCCTTTGTTTAAGAAGAAAATTGTCATAAAAAAGGCTGAACAAAAATTATCGGATGACGAAAAATTTTTATACTATTTGATTGATGAATGTGAAACGATCGATAAAGTAGATTTTTGATCGACATGTGACAGAATTTATATATAATAAATATTTAAAATATACATTTTTACATTATTAACTTCGTTTAAAAAAATGTCATACTATTTCGCTATAGTAGGTACTAAAGACAATCCCATTTATGAAATAGAATTTGGTTCATCTGGGACCAGATCTGCTGGTCTTGACCAAAACACAAAGGTGGTACTCTCACATTCACCATATAATCGAGAAATATAATCTTCTTTTAAATTCATTCTTTTTGGTTTTTTTTTTAATCAACTTAGTAGAAAGATGAACATCGTCATTTAAATCAATTTATCATTCATTCCGCTTTGGATATTGTAGAGGAATTACAATGGACAACCAATACCATGTATGACAATTATTATTTTTAAATTTTCATCTCCCCAATTTAAAAAAAAATTCATTTGTTTTTCAGGTATCTTAAAACTGTAGATAAATTCAATGAATGGCATGTTTCGGCTTTCATTTCAGCTGGCAGTATCCTTTAATAATTTTTTTATAAAAAACTTTTTTTTAATTAAACTTCCTAAATAAATTTACCATTTAAAGATATCAAGTTCTTGTTATTACATGAAACTAAAAATGAGGATAGTATTAGAAATTTTTTTAATGAATGTTATGAAACATATATAAAGGTATTTATTTAATAAGATTATTATTTTTTAAAAAAAATCTTTTCAAATTGATTAATCTTTATAATTTTTTTTTTTTTAAAGATATTAATGAATCCATTCTATGAAGTTAATTCTCCCATTAATTCTATCGCTTTTGATACCAAAGTTCGTTCTGCTTCAAGAAAATATTTGTGAAATCCAATCCATTAAAAGGATTTTATTAGTTAATAATAATATTTAATCTTTTTTTAAATATAAGTTTTTCTATTTTTATTTACTTTCTTTAAATACAATTCAGAATTAATAAAATAATGTGATGAGAAAATGGAATTTCTACTTGTCTCAAACATAAATAACACTAATGATTGAGAACTAAAATAATGCCTTAGAGTGCTAAGTAAAATACATGATAAATTTCTTCAATTTTTATGATGTAATTGAAGATTTTTTTTTTTTTTAATAGAAATGTGATTTCTATAATCAGATTCACTTATCTCAAAATCGATCGAATTCTAAATAATCTAAGATATCAATATATGGATCGCCACTTGTCCAATTTTTAAACTCTTTTTAACGCACTATCGTTACTTTCTTTAAAGATCATCGTAAGCTATTATTTTACGTTTATGCCCTTGTGCTCTTGGATCTAATGGTAGTTGTGGAGGAGGCATTGTGACTAAAAATACGAAAATAATTTTGTTAATCTTCTGAAATAATTTACTTTTAAATATGAAATTTAACTATTAACCTGATCTATTAACAGTTGTAGTATAATCAGATGGTCCATTCACATATGAAGTTTTTGGAAACGAATATTGAATTTCATATGTAATTGGCTTAATATCATTCTGCTTAGCAACTGCACCATCTATAAAAAAATGATCAGCTAATTTATATTATATTTATTTTGTTCGTCCTAATGGTATTTCATTTCTTTGCAAACCTGCATCACTCCATGGAACATTTCCAAATCCATTTGTATTTCTTTCCGGTCTTTTAGCCCGATTTACTAGAAATCCACATAAATTCACATTTAACGAGTTATGATTACTTACTACCAATATTATTAACTTTTATTTACATACCTTGTATACAACCTGAACCTAATAAGGTTCCATGCATTTTACGACGGGCTTCGGTAGCATTTTCTTCGGAATCGAAATCAATGAACGCGATACTAATTACGAAAAATATTTAATCATTCATTCATCCTAATATCTACTTAGTACAAGTTAAATTGACATTTACCCTTTTTCGGGAATCATGTCAATCTTTTCTATATCACCGAATCGTTCAAAAGCCATGTGTAACGTACGTTCGGTAACCTCTTTAAGTTCACCAACATATATTTTTTTGGTGTAAAATTCAGTGTCTATATATTTACTTGCAGCTTGATATGGCTGAATTATTGAAAAAAAGAATGATTGGTTATGATCATTGATAATAAACTTTATTAATTCGATGGGGGAAAAACACGCACATCTTCAAAACTATTATAAGACCATCTCCTTCCTTCCGGTTCATCAATTCTGTCCAAAGATCGGCGACGTCTACCGCTGCCACTTCGTCTCCGCTCAATTTCTTCCTCACTATCTGAAGAACGACGTGACCAAGTCCTAGCACGCTTTCGATCTCTGATTCTATCATCATCGAGGCGATAATAATCTTCCCGATCACTATCAGAGTGCCTATGATAGTTCGATTTTTTCGGAACATATCGATCATAATGAAGCTGACGACCGTGATCGTTTCTACTTCTATCTCTTCGATGTTCACGATCTCTCTGTTGGCTTTTATGGGCACGTCGTAGACCATCTAAAATAAGTAAATAAAAAATTAATGAGTTTTAATTAAAATAAAATATTCACCCGATTGTAGCCAGAATTCATCTGACATTTTTTCTTGGATGATAGCGACTTGAGCGAGATTCATAGTGATCTTCAGAAGAACGAATGCTACTACTACTATATCTCCGCGATTCAGATTTATAACGATCATGATCACTGTGATCGCTATATTCATAATCATCATCACGTTGTCTGCTATCGCGTCTCAACATGCGACCAAACTCGTCTACTTCAACCTTTTCACTGTTAAAATTTACACAATGATTAATAAAAGTTGATTTATCAAAAAGGTGACCTGAGCAAGTTTTTTTTTAAAAAAAACTAACTTATCATTTTCTTCGGTTATTTTAATAATACTTTTAGAGCCAGAACTGTTATCTTGTCTACTACCTTTATTCGTAGCGGAAGTGGTGGGTTTTTCTTCTTTATCGGTTTTGTAGGGTTGTGAACCGTTTCCTTCGGCCTAAAAAGTAATGCAAAAACGTGTAAGGGAAACTAGATAAGGGACACCGATTAAATGGAAACAAATTAATAAGAATGACGAAAGAAGACATACGACCACCATTTTGGTTATTTTATTATACTCTAAGAAAGTTGCGAGCGGGTTAAGGTGGGCGTTAATGCTTCAAATCAAATTAAATAATGATTTTTTTTTCCCTTAAAAAAAAAAAAAAAATTATCATCCCGTTTCACAAGAAAAATTGTATTGGAACAATGTAGCACGTGCTAGACTTTTTTGCCTTATTCAAACAACGTTAAACACGTATTTTAAACGTATTTTGACGTAATAAACTGCAATAAGGCTATCAAGAGTTAATGTAGGTCTTGGGAATTTTATATAAATATCATTGACATCATTTATAATTTATTTTCTCAAAAAAAAAAAAAATAATTTTTCTCCCATTTTTTTTTTTTTGATAAAACCAAAACCTTAGTATGACTCTTTACTACACTTTAGTCTTCCTTTTATTAGTCGCTGAGGTAATGTTTTCTTTTTACTTTACAAGTTTCACTCTTTTTATATTCATTCCAAACTAACTGCACCTTTTACGTCTAAAAGTCGGCAGCATTCGTAGTTTTGATTGTAAGTTTTAAGTTGATAAAATGTTTATTTTGCATGAGAAAAAGTTCTGACTAATTTATTTTAACAAGTTACCTTTCCCACACGCGTGGAGACGCGGTGTTTTACGCTGGGTGTCAAGGTCAACGCTGGTAAGGTATTTCTACGCGTGTATTCATTATATCTTCCGAAATAACGTATTAAAATTTGTTTATTATTAGGTTGCCAGGTCTCAAGTTGCGTTAAAATTCGCTTTCGTGTAAGTTAATGATAAGTTGCAAGTCTAATTGACTTGATATTACATTTTTGATCCATTTTGATCTGTTAACTTGATTTGTATTATTTTCGATAGTTTTGTTTTGATCTTATTTTTAGGTAGGTGTGCCGTGGAAGGAGGAAATCATTTGTTGTGTGATTAATAAATGATACTTATAAATAATTAATAATATGTTATTTAGATGCCACCAATCGTACATACACTGTTCAACACGATAAAAATGAACCACTTGACGCGAGAACCGAGGCTGCACATCACGCCAAGAAATTCTACAATCAACGCAACATGTAAGCAGACCTGATCTTTAAAAAGTTAAAGGTTCATTAATTCTTATATCAATCATATGTTCTACATTATAGGTATTTGACAGGATTTACGCTTTTCTTGTCGTTGTAAGTATTATTAACTTGAAGCGTCTGCATCACAAAATTTAAACGTTTGATTATGATACTAACGCTTTAACGTTTGGAAAAAAAGGATTCTTAATAGAACATATGTGTTAGTGGTAGAATTATTGGCGAGCGAAGATAATCTTGAGGCCCTAAAAAGACAGGTCAGGTTAAAATAGAATATAAAGTGAATTGGAGGTCATCAGTCGTTGATATTTACATTATTATATATTATAGGCTACCAACCATACAAAAGAATATTTACGTGCAACGGATTCCGAGACACAGATGAAGAATGAAATCGAAAAGCTTTCAAAAGAATTGGATGAAGAAAAGAAGAAAAGTTTAGATTTTGAAACATTAAAGAAGCAAGCGTCCCAACAAGCCGATGAATATGATAGATTGGCTGATAGATTTAATGAACTTGAGAAACAATCGCAAATTCGTAATGATGATGATAAAAAATCCGTTTAAATTTAATATTCGTTTTGAAGTATTAATGTTTTTTAGTGGATTTTTTTGGAAAATTTCCAAATGAAAAAGGTCCGCATACTGCTAATTATAGGTAGTCACATTATTGAAATATCACATTTGTATCCATCTCAAATCAGTTGAAAATATTAATAATCAATCATATATATGGACTTTTGAATTATTTTCAATGATTATTTGTTTTCAACCATTATATAAGTTTACATACATTTATAAATTATTTAATTATGTTCATAAAAGCTATTATTATTAAATAAATCAAAATATCATCCCACAACCACCAACATACAATCATAATCGATTCCTTTGTGATACGATAAATAATATTTTCCAAAAGATATTATATATTACTATCGGTAAATGTATAACAAAAAAATGTTCGCTTTGGAAATTTAAATCGAAGCCGTTCTTTTTTTTTATCATTAAGCCTCAAGTCTGTTGATTCCAAATAAACGAACTTTATGTAATTGAGGTAATTTTGCTACAACTACCACAAATAACAATGTGAAATTCACCAAGAATGTAAATCCATCATAATGAGTATAATGAGTGCTAAGTAGAAACCTAAGAAAAAAAGAAAAAAAAAAAAGGAATCATAAACGTTTATACATTCTTTTAAAAAAAAAAGAAATGAAAATTAAAAAGTTTAAATTGCTTACATACAATCCAATTGGAACGGCTGTAAGATATTTTTTAGCGGGAGTAAATTGAGCTCCATTATCAATTTGTTCCCATAATGTTAGTCCATCATAAGCTCCTGCATTAAAATCGAATGGAACCCCTTTTATCCAATGAAACAATAAAAAACTGCCCTAATCCCAAATGTTAACAAATTGAAAAAAAGAAAATTGAAAAAATTGAAAAAAAAGGTATTAAGAAAGAGAAAAAAGATTGGATTTCGAGAGAAAACGATTATATTTACCAGCATATATGTTAGGTTGGTGAATGTCCAACTGGCTTCAGAAGGCACTCCCGGAATACTACCAAACAAAATCTTGATACATAAAATCAGAACTATATGAACTAACCAAGCGCCTTTATTTAATAAAAAAATTTTAGATAATTTCCAATTAATGAATGACAAAAGACAAGAGAAACGAAAGACAAGAACCAAAAGGGACTTGTATATATTTATTGTATTGCTTACCTTTATAGTATACCCAATTAGAATTTAAGTTTGGTAAAGCAGATTGGTCTAAAGTATCATTATAAGAGGTTGGTTTTTCTGTAGTAATGAAACTTCTTGATCTATTTCTCGACATAATTTTTTTTTTAAAAGGGAAGTTTTTTAATAATCAAAAGAAAAGAAAAAAAAAAAAAAAAAGCGAAAACGGAAAGCGGAAAATAAACAATCAAAATGAAAATAATTGAAATAGAAAAAGAGTTTATATATTTTTAAATGTTATTTCTATGTGGAACTTCTTTTGTTTCATGTTTCACCATTCCGATTTTTTTAATTAGATTTTCCCGATCGATGGAAATCCGGATAAATTTAGATGTTTGTTAACGTGATAGTGTAACGTAAAAAATTATAATTCTTATTGAATACTCGTATTCTCAATCAAACATCATGCAGTAATTTTTCGTACTTTCATATATTAACCTCTTTTCCTAAATTGAGAAAGAATCAGCTAAAATAAATATCTATTTAAAACCTTTCAATTAATCAACCGATTCCCTTTTTTACATCCATTTCGAACATAACTTTGGAAAAAGGTCATATCATTTTATACTTGGACGTAACACCGCCTATTTATGCAAATTAGACGAGTTTAACAATTAATTAAAGTATTCTGTATACCATTATAAATTAGTTATGCGAAAGATGACATAACGTACAAAACCATTTTAAAATGATATTATGTTTGAATATTTATATACTTTGATGAAATTTTTGTAATAAAATAAATACAAATGAAATGTCGAATTTTTTAAAAAAATAAATAATTTTGAATTAATTTCAAATGATTTTAAGAATAAATTAAATAATCTCCCTCTTTAGAAGCAATAACAACAACCTGAACCTTTTCCACCACTTGAACCCACTCTACAACACATACATAATATTTGAGTTATGGCCAGAAAAGCACCAAAACCAATCGACACTAAACCAACATAAAATAGAATATTAAAAACACTTTCACTGCACACATTAGAACAAGATTGAGTACCATTCTTAAACTCATTATTAGCCTGATCGATTGGATTGTTACCATTTGGCAATTTACCACCAGGATTTGGTATACCACCTCCATTTGTAGGATCACAAATCCCTTGACATTTTCCCGGTAAAATTTTTGAATAAGTAAGAGAAAAAATACCCCCGATTATAAAAACTGCGGCAAAGAAAAAAATGATTATAGTACAAGTACACCTTATACAACCACATAGTGAGAAACAATCTGCACAACCACTTTCATCTCGACGTTGACGGTTACTTTTCTTTTTTTCTCTATGATTATTAGGTGATTCCGGCCTTGATTGATTTGAAGGAATCATAGACGAAGGTGTGTATGATGACGGAAGTGGTGCTTCGGAATGTGGCGAAGAAGAATTTTTTGGTGGACGAGGTAGATTTGGAGTTTCGTAATTTTTTGGAGGTTTTGGTGACTGATCATATGTTGGCTTTAATGGTACCGATGATGGTGCTGAAAATGGTGCTGGTGATGATTCTTTGGGAGGGGGAGGGGGAGGGGCACTCGATGTTTGCATGTTGTTATAATTTTGAGTACTAATATATGGTTGCGTTATATATGGAGAAGCATTAGAATAAAAATTATTGTTATATGTTTGCGGTGGATTTGGCGATGAAGTGTATGGTTCAGAAGTATATTGCTCAGGGTATGAATTGTTACTATAAGTTGGCTGGATTGGTAAATTATACGTATTATATGATATCTCAGGTACCGAATTATTCGGTTCATACGGTACGTTATACGTATTGTTGTTATTATTATTATAAGTCGATTCATATGGTATGTTATAAGAAGGCTCGGCCGGTGGATTATAAATTTTATTATTGTCAGCCGACGAGTTATTATTGTAAGACGGCTCGGTCGGTGGATTATAAATTTTATTATTGTCAACCGGTGGATTATAAATTTTATTATTGTCATCCGATGGATTATAAAAGTTATTATTGTAAGACGGCTCAGCCGGTGGATTATAAAAATTATTATTGTAAGACGGCTCGGCCGGTGGACTATATGAATTGTCATACGGAGGAGAAGTAGGCATATTTAACTGAGGAAATTGTTGTTGTTGAGGGGGAGAAGGATGTTGGGAATAAGGTTCTGTGTAGGATCCCGGCTGCTTCTCTTGTGGCATAATTATCGGAGGAGGAACTTGCTCTGCTCCTGGATATGAAACTACATTTGAAGCATCATTTGATGGATATTGTTGCTGTTGAGAATAATCGTATGCCCCGTTGTTGTAAGTATTATCAGGATATTGATGTTCCATGTTTACTTTAAATGTCAAAAAAAAAAAAAAATAGCCGTTTATTTTATTCGAAATGTTAAACAAGGTTGGTTCCTTCCTAGTTTTATTTTGGTCGGGCGTTGAATAATTTTTTTACTTTTCCTCCTTCAAAGACAATAATATTTATTGCCCTTATCTTTTGAACGTCGTTGGATTTAAAACGAAATCAATCGTAACACTAAATTTATAAAAAGTGTATCCAATTATAATAAAGTTTATAATTTTAGCCCAGGATTTCATTAAAGACGGCCAAAATTATAAGCACTTGTATTTAAAAATTTCCTTTCTTGAAAAAGTATTTTTAAATTGAATTTCAGCCCAAGAAAAAGCTTTTTACTTTTTAAGGATAAAACAAAACTGATTTGTAACTAAATCAAAAAATTTGGCCTTATCAGATAGATTTTTAATGATGACATTATAAATTATTTTTTAAAAATTGACAATTTTAATTAAATTAAATTAGTCTAAATAAAATAAGAACAATTTGTCCTTTTGACATTTAATCGAATCCTTCTCTGACTTCAAGAAACTTTGAAATATTTCCTTTATATTAATTAGCTGACATGCGTATATTGAATACTCCTGTGGTAGTTATTCTGTTAGGCGGACTAGTCTTTGTTGACCATTCGAGACAAATACATTTTCTGGTATGTTAATGAGGAAAGAAAAAAATTTTTTTTATAATGATTCAAAACGCGTCATTCCCATTAGAGCAAAAAAAATATATGCATTTATTGTAATTTGTAAAAATCCCAATTTATTTGATAAAAAACGTTATATTTAGATAAAACCTACTCCTTATTAATTTACAAAACAACTAAATTTTACATGAAAAAAATCATCGATTAGCATAAATAACTAGCCAATCATCTTGAATTTTAATCGTGAAAACATGCAAAATTAATTTTCCTGAAGCTCTAATGCACATGTTCTCGATGGTTCAATCAAATTTATTTGTTATATTAAATAAACACAAATTATATTCTATAATAGAAGTGGAAATCCAATTAATTTTCTGTTTATTTTATTTCCGTTATTTTTTACCTAATATTCGTTTTTTTCGCACGTTTATATTTTTTTGTTGTCAACCTCGTTTCTTAATAACAAAGGATGAATGAGACAAGTTCTAAAATTGTTTACTAAAATGTCAAATGTACTGTATTTATTTTTGTGACTTTAGGAGACAATTTGAGTCGATACGTGATTGGTCACTTTCGTTACACTTATGTAACAACGGTTTCATAAACCGTTATTGTTACAAAGAGCATGCAAAATGGATGATTATAATTTTACCTTAAAAATTTGGTGATGTTACTCATATAATAATCATTTATTTATGAGAGCTTGTCAAAACACAAACATGATTTTCAACTACAATATTACATTACATTAAAATATTTTTTATTTATAGTTCATAATAATAGTATTGCCAGTAAAATCAAGTTATGAGATATAGTAAATCATATGATCTGTAATGTGATTTTACTAACACTATAGAATGATATTGGAATGAAGAGAACAAACATCATCCTTCACCAGCTATGCTAGATACGCGTAAGCTTTGAACACTGAAAAAAATATTGATTCCAACTTCAAGGATTCTGAAATATTAAGATCTTGATGATCTCTTTTAACAAACCAATGCTCATTGTAAGTAGAGAGCATGCCATATTTTTGACATATAATGGTATAGTTTCTGAATCACATCCTTTATCATTATTCAAGGTTTTTTCACAATTATTTGATCAGATTCTTCCAAATCAAATTCCTTATTATTGCTTTTAATATTCTGTGACTGCAAAAGAGTAGCAAATCAGCTATCATTATTCTTCGTAATATCATTCATTACTTTAGGTAGTGGGATTTTAAACTATCGATGTCTTGTGATTTAGGATAAGTTTCAGTATTTCTGCGAAATTCAAAAAAGTAAAACTATAGCAAAGTTTATAAAAATGGCGAATTATATCAAATTAGTAAAAATTTAGCAAAATTAAAGATTTAAATATTTAGCTAAATCAAAAATGGATTTAGACAAGTAATCTATCTTAATAAGGACTTAAATTTTAAAAATGTTTATTTTATAGAAGAAATCTGAATTTTATTGTTTGAGTTACTTAATCATTTTATATAATTATTGAATTGCTTTTTTAGCTTTTAATTTTCTATATAAAAAATATATTGTTAGATCATTATATTTATCAATCAGAAAATAAAATAAATTGATATCAAGTTTATAAATCATCTTAATCGATAGTTATCATTTTGACTAAAACTGAAAGAGCTATTATAATTCATGTTAAAAATGTGATAAAAATTAAATGTCTATATTATTTTCACAATTTATCAATATTCACTTGATTTTTATTTTTGTATGTTTTAAGGATTTCAATTCTTTGTTATATTTTTATTTTGCTTAATTCACTTGTATTGATTATTATAATTGTTCTAATTATTAAGTTTATTAAGCTTGTTATATTTATTATGCTTATTTTACTTGTTTTTTTGGTTATTTTTTTTATACTATTATAGAAAAAATAAAAGTTGATTAATAGAAGATGAAGATTTGGTAAATATGAATATCAAATTTATATAATTAATTATAAATACATGTAAGAAATTATGTAAAAATATAATTAAACATATTAAATTTAAAAAAAAAATTAGTAGATTTTTTACAAAAAAATAAGAATTTTTTAAGAAATTGCTATTTCCTAAAGAAAGTCAATTGAAAAATTAGTTTTTTTGGTAAAATATTTTTACAAAATTATTAATACAAGATAAAATTTAGTTTTTTAGTTGAATTTTAACTGATTATAATTAAATTTAATAATATTTCTTTTTTTATTTTATTTTATTTATTGCTAAAATATATTTTTAAGCAAAATTTTAATGTAAGAAAAGTTTAATTTTTTCTATCAAAACTTTTAATTCATATATAAATCAAAAATAAATAAATTTAAATAAGCTTTTAAATATATTAAATTAGAAATATTAAATAAAATATAATTGATTAATTATTTTGATAGATAATACAGTCAAACCTTGATATAGCGAACCCTTGATATAGCGAATTTTTAAATCAAATATATTAAAATTACCTTTACTATAGTGAACTAGCCAATTAAATTCTTTAAAAAATTCGTTATAAGCTTATAACGAAGTGTATATCCAGATCCTAGAATTCATTATATCAAGAGTTCACTATACATACAATAAACAATAAAAAAAATTGATAATACAAATAAAAAATCATTCTTATAAAATAATATATAACAAATAATAAAGAATAATGATAATATAAATTCAAAAATCATTCTTATAAATTTGTTTTATTTTAAACATTTATTTTTCTTTTATTTATTTTCTTATTTTTTTAAATATTGTGAATAGATGAATATTACGTGGTATATATGATGCAGATGATTAACTGATCTAATAAATTTAACATATCTAGAATTTACTAATTTCCTATTCAAATAATATTTGAATTATTCAGGTTAATAAAAACCTATTCGAATATTTGCTGAATAAATAATATTTAGTGAATAAACAAACTTATTTGAATAAAAAAATTATTTGTTAAATATTTAATCTAGAATCTGAAATTATAAATGATTTACAAAATTGCATTAGTAATATAATATGCTCAGTTTATTTTAATTTAGTATGAAATTCAGTCTGTTTGGATTTCAGATTGATGTTTTATTGATTATTTCTAATCTAATTAGGATTTGAATATTGCCAAAAATACTGAATAGTCATTAAAAATTTCCAAAAACCAATTAATCACTTTTATTTTATTATCTCACAATCACACGATGTTAGAGAAACTTTATTTAATCTAGCTCTACATTTATATTATATATTTATAAGTCATAATTTTTCACTGATCCTTTGGTTTGAATACATCAAACAATTTCATATTTCTTTTTAAAAACAACATAGATCCTAGCAATTCAGGCTTTAAACAAGTATAATAAGCAGTAGCCTCTTACTTGACACAAAAGTAGTAGAAATTGACAAATACTTTATTGCTAATCAAGATAAAATTGGAAAAATGTTTATTCTTATTTTCCACCATTTCAGCAGATTACATTCTCAAACTTCTTTTGGTAAAGATAAGTATTATGAAACTTTATCAAATACATCATTTTCTTCATTATCTGAATCATCATATATTCTAAGCAATAAATAATTAATTTTATTCAAATTATTTATAATTAATGGTTCAGATAGTCTAGGTAAATCAATATGTGAAATGTTAACTGATTTCTCAGCAATAATAGCTTATTCATTTTGATATAATTGTCTAAGATTATTAATTGTTGCATTATGTTAAACTTCTGTAACAAATTTAAGTTTTTTAAACTGAGGATCTAACAAGGTTGCAAGTAAAGATGATAGCCTTTATGAATATGTTGCAACATACCACTGTTATAACATATGTTGCAACATAGTTGCAATATTTGAAAAAATTTATT